TGTAAGAAGTCACCCGTCCTGTTCCTCTCAATTGAACATCTTCCCATGACCTATTTAGCTTATGGAAACAAAAGGCCAAATAGTTAGGCAGAATATATAAACAAACACAATTTAGGATAAATGCCTGACACTGAAGACAGGGTGACAGAGGGAAAATAGTGTCACGCTCATGGAGGCTGTTTGGAAATTTGGGATTGGTGAAGTGACATGTTTATGTATATGGTTATACATTTGTGAAGAGCAATGACACATGGACATGGCTAAATACTAACAAGCTATTAATGTTGTGGTATTGCAATTTCCATACACAGCAAGGTATTTGTCCAGCACTGCATATGATTTAATATTAATTTGTTGTCCTCTAAACACCCCACCACCACCTCCCAAGAAAGTTAAACTTTATTTTTTTAAATTTACTTAAAAGCTGAACTTCAAGCAAACTGCTAACTACACAGATGAAATGCATATAAGGGAGCTGCCAAAGGATTTCTATTTCTGTCCACCTAGTCCTGAGTTTTACACAGATCTGCCAAAAAGTCCTATTAGGGAAGAAAAGCTGTTTTTTTTCGGTGCTGCAGTTCAGTAACAGTTCCATATCTGCTCTCCACCCTAGCCCTGTGACTAGACAGTGAAAGGAGAAGTAGCATACTAATTAGCTCATCTGTCACTCTTTTTCCCTGGGCATGCTCCTTACACAGTGGATTTGCTCCTTGTGCTGCTTCTCCCTGCCCTAATCTTGGTTCTGCTGTACATGCGCGGTAAGAGGGCGATACCAAGTCACACTGCCAAGGATGTATTCATGAACACAGAGCTTAATTTATTTGTATCTTCTATATCTGCATGGATTTCAGCTTTAATGTAGAATGCTTGCACAATACATTATAAATGCGGTGTTTGCTACTTTGTAAACTATTTTCCACTCTGATGAAAGAAACTTGCCAACTTGATGGAAGTTGGCAGGCTGTATGTTTTGATTACGCTAACAGTCGTCAATCATTCTGAACAATTATTGTGAATGATACGTCAGTGGCAGAACACACACAGACTATATGCTTTTATACATTTTAAATTCGGTGTTTAGATAGTGGAAATCTATTACGCAATGCTTTGTAGTGTACAATCCATTTCTATCACTCCCTGCTTCTTAAGTCCTGGTTTACACCTAGGAGTTTTTGAGCAGTTCAAAAAGCGCTTTTAACTGCCCAACACCCATGATTTTCAATGGCCCTGGTGCACACCTGAGCAGAAAGATGCCAAACGCCTGAAAAGATACAGGAGCTTCTTTGGGCAGTTAAAAGCACCTTTCTTCCCCATAGATTTAATTGGAAATGGCAAAAACGTGCAACAGCAGCATGTTGTACATTTTCATGAGCGTCTTTTCACGTTTATATGCGCGGTCTTCCATTGCCCACAATGGTTCCTGAGCTGCCAATCAAAACGCGCGTCTTCATGCACGCGCATTAATACAAATGTGCACAATGGGCATAAACGCGCAAATAACCGCATGGCTGTTAACGCGCGTACAAAAACGGTGCAGTCTAGGTGTGAACCCAGCCTAAAGAAGCTCACAATCTAATATATCTACCAGACTTATAGTAGAACCAACTTGGGTACACTAGGAAACTGGCGCACCCGACGAAAACCCCTGCAATCTTGGGGAGGACATACATAGAGGTGCAGCCAAAACATGGCCTTGTAACGCTGAGTGAGACCTGAACTGCTACACTCATTGATCCTTCATTAAAGTGTATGTATTCCCAAAACATTTTTTTTTTTAGTTTTGGATAAAGGTTAGGACCCCTATCAGGTTTTACTAATATCTGGGTGCCATTGGAAAAATGTCTGCTCACTTTCTGTTGTGGGGACAACCTTTTACCAGACAGGAAATGAGGAAACATCTTTAACAGGGAAACAAGTAATGCAAATTTAACAGATGTTCTAGCCACTGTTTTCTGTTATTACTATTTTACTGCTATGCCGTCATTGCATATTATGATGTTATGGTATATTCCAGACATATAGTGGTAGATTAGCACTACTAGCTTGTTTTTCTCTATACATTTGGTATCTTCCACTGTTCTTCCCTCCTGTTTAGTGCCATTTGGTATAGTCCCAGATAGACCCTCCCTGCTTCTTCCATGTTCACTAATTTGTATTGCTAGCCCTCATTGCAGACACTTGGCTTGGAAGATCTATTGTCATTTTACACTTCATGTGACCAGCAAGCATCCTCTGTATGTACTTTGAGAAGTAAAACTATGTTGGATTTAAGCTCCTGTATCTTATTGGAGAGTTAGGCTGTCTGTGGATGACTATATCAGTTCAGCTGGTGACTATACTGCCCGGAAGGATGGAGGTCCAAAAAATGTATGTCAAAGCATAAAAGTGGTTCGTGAAAGAGAAAACTTCTATTTGTGCTGATATTAGACATATTTCCCATCACTTCCTGTCCTGGTGGTGGTGCTGTCCTGGTGACAACCTTTTAACAAGATAGGAAGTGTAGTAATCTCTTCCACTTAGCCTCCGACAGTGGTAAATTCTGAAATGTGTCCTAATCCTTCCCCAATCTATCCATAACTACAACAAAGATTTGGCTATAGATACACGCTATAGTCAGATGACTTCCTTTGGAATGAATGGGAGGCTTTAAACAGTATAAATCCTTCAAGAGAGGCTTGACTTCTCATCCTATTTGCTGAAGAATTCAGACTGAGTACAGTAAGCATTCGCTATTTCATTTTAAAATTGTCATGACAAGTCTGGCTTATTAAGCTACAAGTAACAAGGCATTTTTTCCCTAGCGCGTGGGAGTAGCGTTTGTAATGCTCCATTCATTGTTATCTCTCACAGATGTTTAACAAGCCCACTGGCTCTGTCCCCGGAGGAATATATACAACCACTCCTTATCTTAGCAATGTGTTAAGAGACATAACATATTACTTTTCTATTATAGAGAATTTTAAATGTTCCCTCTATTTCACTGTGTTTTCTAAAGCCTATCTCTGGGGCAAAAAACACTCCCCTTACATTACAATCTGTATAAAAGGAGTTTTGCAGTCAGCTTAGTCTCACAAAATTAAAAAAGGAAAACAAAAGTATTTTGTATATCTCTGGAATGTCTCCTCTCACTTGTAAATTACCTTTTCTTTGTCAACAGCAAATTTAGTTTCCTAAATCCAAATTGCAATGAGCAATCATCTAGCACTCTGACTTGGCAAAGCACTTGTTCATTAGTGACATCTTACACTTTTAGAATTTTCCAGTCTAAAATGCGTGTATAATTTCTCCATGGCAGTGAATTCTGCGTTTCTGTGCCAGTAATGTGTTTTGCACCAGAAATCACAGCTCTCCTTGGCATATGTACTTAATATTATGTCTTTCTAATTAATTGCCAGTCTAAAATGCTAACAGCAAAAAAATAAAAAACAAGACCTATTTCTTCCACCAGAAAAGAGAAGGAGGGAGTATCGGCGGTGGCCAATATGTTGTGTTCCCCCGAAGGTTCTCAATAGATCCCACAGCTGTGATCCTCTCGGCTATATCAGCTGACAAACGTTGGTCTGCCTATGAAGGATGCAGTATATTGGTAAAAAGTCAGCTTTGTATCATGATTCATGTCTCACACTTATCTGAATTCATTCAAAAAGAAAAAGAAAACACTATTTTTGCATCTACATTAGCCATTTAAAGTAACACAACATTCCAGAAATTCTTAAATATTTATCCATGCATTTTAATAAAACACTTACATAAACCTGTATTTATGACCTTGCATAAACTTTACATGAACCAGCCTGTATTTATTTTTCTTTTCTCTCTTCCCTTTAACTTTACTAACACTCCACCCTTCTGGCTCCCCTTTCCCTGCCCCCCCCCCCATTGTACCCCCAATATGCACGCACAAGGTGGTTCCCCAGATTACCTATGTTACCCCATTTCAGCCATTTGTTCCTTTACTTTGCATTGTTAAATAGTAAATTCTCTGTCAATTGTAAAAAGTGGAATCTGTTAAATTATACATTTAACAAAAAGGCTGCATATTGCCAGTCTTTTAAAGTCCCCCTGCTCTAAAACAAAAAAATTATAATTCAGTTTTATGTGGTTGTTCACAGAAGAATTGCATACTGCATACTGACATTTCCAGTGGCCAAATAGCTCCTTCAATAGCTAGCGTGTTGAACAAATTCATCACTTTTGGCCAGAGAAAGTCTATAGGAGTAAGAATTTAATTTGGATTTCGAACTCTGTTACGCTGTCCATCTTTAGCAGAAACAACTATGTTTCTGTCACTAGAATGCATGTCACCTTGAAAATCCAATGTCTGATCTTTTGTAGTTTCTGCCTTGGAATGCAACCTTCCATTGATTTGTATTATAATCACAAACAGACCCCTCGCGCAGGAAATAGGGCACACTCTGGAACTATTTTTACAGCTGACCTATGTTTACATGGTTGCTTTATAGAGTCCTTTGTAACATCAAATTCCAGTGACACAGACACAAATGTTTAAGCAATCAGGCATCAATCAACTTAGTTCCAATAAGATGTTTAGAAGGTTTCAACAGGTAAGCCAA